GAGGAAGGATCACAAGCACATGCCGTGAGAGCAGGAAACAACAAACACAGAAACACAGTGTCATACACACACATCACACAACACGCACAACACGCGCACACACGCACACGCACACACACACACACACACACACACACACACACACACACACACACACACACACACACACACACACAACACACCTGACGACGGTTGAGACGAGCATGAGCCCGGTGTATGCGATATAGGCGTAAGACACGGAGGGGTTTCGGCGAACAGCCACGCGGCCCAGGCCAAGAATCTGCACCATATTGGCCACGGTGCTGACAATCCAGCGTCGACGCTGCTTGAAGAAGTCCTCCAGGCTGTCCGGACAATACGTCCGGTCTTTTGCGGCGGCGCAGTACTCCAGGCGCCAGCCACGTGTCACGAGCAGCGTGCACAGCCAGCGGTCCTCCCCCATGTCCTTTGTCAGGAAATCGAATGCCTGGTCGACGTGCGACGAGTACTCGAGTACAACTTCGCGCAGAGCGTCGATGCGGAAGAGGCTGAAGCAGCCCGGGCAGCACAGCACCGTGCCCAGCACATGCTCGGCTGCCTTCTGGAACCAATGGCCAACAGCGTAGTCAAAGTGCTGGTACCACACGAGCGGACCGTTGCCGAGAGGATATGTGCGGCCACACACGGCGCCAACACCACGATCACGTGCCATCATCATCAGCAGCGCAATCACATCGTGCGCCGTAAAGTTGATGTCGGCGTCAGTCGCCAGCACATACGCGTTGTCGGACCGGCCGTTCTTCTTAAAGTCGAGCACGTAGCGCGTGAGATACACCATGTACATCACCTGCGACCACCGCTTGCCCTTGCGCACACGGCGTGGGTCCTTCAAGTGGATGTGGATGGTGAACTTCTCCGTCAGCTTGAGCTCAACGCGCATGCCAAAGGGCGTGCTGATGCGACGGCCAACGCGCGCGTGACGCTCAGCTTTCGCATTCTCAAAGAATTTTTTCTGGTGGTGTGATGTGTGGAGGGTGACGATGAGTACGCGGTGATGTGGACGACGTTGAAGGGGAAGGAGAGTATCATGGCAAAACTTGACTGACAGCGCATATACTACCAGCCCAGATGTACATGTACACACACACACACACACACACACACACACACAAACACACACAACACACGCACACAACACACACAACACACGCACACGCACACGCGGTGCGCTCACCCCGAGAATGGACTTGATGGTGCGGTGGAGAACGCGCAGCAGCTGCAGTGCCTTGTTGCCAGGCTCGTTGTCGGCCTGCATACCCCCGTCCATGAAGATGTGGCTCTCAAAGTTGCACGAGCCAGAGAGGTGGAGGCCAGAGTTGATCACAGACCGCAGCAGCTGCTCCATTTCCGTCTCGCTCTCGTTGTACTGAAGTGTTGCGGGTGTATGGGAGGGAAGGAGGGAAGAAAGGAAGGAGGATAGGGGTGAGTGTGTGGGGTGGAAGGAAGATGTTGCTTAGATGCAAGGTGCTGTTCTTGCTTTGGGGACAGCCGGTGTGTGGTGGACACAAACACAGACAATGCAGCCGCTGGTGCCGACGAAGAAGAAAGCCCTTCCACGCATGAGCGTGTGCGAGTGCGTGTGCGTGTGCGAGTGCGTGTGCGAGTGCGAGTGCGTGTGTGCGCTTGCGTACCATTGTGGTGCAGACGTAGATTGAGCTTTCCTTGAGCACCTCCTCCGTGGAGAGGACGAATTTGGCATCGCCGTCATCTTCGGCCTCGTCTCTGCTGCTGCTGCGGCGGCTGATGAGCGCAAAGTGGTCCACAAACACCGCGCTGTATGCATTTTGGTAGAACAGCGTCTGGTGATTGGTGATTGGTGGTTTGGAGTGACGTGAGGGAAAAAAGAAGATGGCTAGTGTGGTAACATATCCGCTCTGGTCAGATGTTCACGCAACACAAAAGAGCACACACACACACACACACACACACACACACACACACACACACACACACACACACACACACACACACACACACACCTCGTCGAGGCCGAGACGCGGGATGCGACGCGCGAAGATGTAGGACCAGTTGCTCAGCCACTGCACACACACACACACACACACACGCACACAAATGGTATGTTAGGGAGGAGAGAAGCAAGCAAGCATGCACTCACTCATCAATCGCAAGTGCAAATGTCTGTACAACCCTCACACACACATACACACACGCGCGCGCGCATATGTTAATCACACCATTGAGATGGACGCGAGGACGACAAAGAGAGCAAAGTGCCACCAATCGCCCTTGGCGTGCACGTGCATGTGCGTGTGCTCCTCAAACCCGTGCAGCGAATGCAGCACAACCAGCACGCCAGTGCTGAAGACACACATACACACACACGTGCAAGCAAAGAGGGTATGCAATGGGGCAGACGCAGAGAGGAGGAGGGGGTAAATACGCGTGCACGGTGTCATCATCATTCAGCAGTGACCAGAACGACGCCTTCGCGCATGAATAG